ACATAAGGGGGTATTTTCGCCCATGTAGGTTTCGTTCTAGAGGAGTTTCACTGTACCACAAATTTAAGGGGGAAAGAAATTGAGCAATATGAAATGAAATCACATAAATATTTGTAAAATAAAAGGGTCGAACTGGAGCATGTTCCTCAATGTACAATGAATGGCAAGGATTTAAGGATTTCATCATCTCCGGAAAATATTATCATCAAAAGGTTCAGAGAATCTAAAGAAATAACTGCATGTAACCGGCAAGGCAGAAAACCAACATTGAATGCCCGTGACCTTCAATCCCTCAGGCCCTTTAAAAAAACAAAACAAAATAAAAAAACCCAACATCAATGTGTACTGTAAAGCAGGGGTCCCCAACCGCCGGTCCGCGGACCGGTACCGGTCCGCCGGGCATTTGGTACCGGGCCGCACAGAAAGAACTTGCCTTAATTCCGTTTTATTTATTTCGGAATACGAAACATGTTTTATTTTGAAAAACTACCGGATTCTCCGTTACATCCGTCTGTGTTACGCTTGACACACGTCAAGCCACGCTTCTCCTTCACGTGACCGATTACTTCAAAACAAAACGCGGGAGCTCGCAAAATGAGTAAAAAAAAAACTGCTGGAGATCGCAAATGACGGCGGCCTTAAAAGTACGTTCGAGACAACTGGATCAAAGTTATGCCTGAATACTCTGAGATGGCCACAATAGCACTGTTGCTATTTCCGACATCCTACCAGTGTGAGACGGGGGGTTTCTGCAGCAACGGCGACGAAAACAAAATTAACACCTTAATTGCCGGTCCCTGAAAATATTGTCTGACATAAACCGGTCCGTGGGGCAAAAAAGGTTGGGGGCCCCTGCTGTAAAGGACATCACCACATGGGCTCCGAAACACTTCAGAAACTCAATATTACTAAATACAGTTCGGCGCTGTATCTGGATATATACAGCTTGGCAACAAATTTGAATATCATGAAAACCTTATGTCATGCATACATTCATTCCCCAATGACTCCCCCACTCACAAACACTCACCTACTGTATTTTTAATATGCTTGTATTTATATTTTATAATTTATATTTACTTATATACTTTTTGTTCTTCTACTTCTCCCTTTCATAATTTTTGCTGCTGTAAATTGGGAATTTCTCCATTGTGAGACAAATAAAGGTTTTCTTATCTTTTCGTATGACGGATACATTTCAAGTGTTAATTCATTCTAATTTACTGTATTTTCCCGATTATATCGCCGTTTTTTTCATACGTTGGCCGGGGGTGCGATTTATACTCTGGAGCGATTTATACTCTGGAGCGATTTATGAGTGAAATTATTAACATATTATATCAGGGGTCTGAAACTCAGGTCCTGGAGGGTCGCTGTCCTGCATGTTTTCCAAGTCTCCCTGTTGCAACACACCTGATTCAAATGAACAGGTTCAGTGTCAGGCTTCCGCAGAGCTTGCTGATGATCTGATCATTTGAATCAGGTGTGTTGCAACAGGGAGACTTGGAAAACATGCAGGACAGCGGCCCTCCAGGACCGGAGTTTGAGACCCCTGTATTATATCATTTCACATGTTATTTACACATTAAACCACAAGAGGGTACTCTAGGCCTGTAATGATACTTTCAACATTGGCGGTCACTGATAAAAACAAATGAAGTTGACTCTGACGTACCAGAAGTAGTAGAGGAAGCGCGGCATCTTCAAACCCCGGAGTTCGCGGAGTTCTTAAAAAGTGACACAGAGGATGGAGATTTAGTGATTAGAAGATTTAGTTATTAGGAGTGACACTGATGGTTCGGTAAACTTGTTAGGCGTAGAAAAAAAAAGTAGTGTGTTTCCGGTAACATGAAATTTCAGCATAGGGTCGGTAGGTCAGACAAAGTTTTTTTTGTTTTTTTTTTTAATCTTTTTTTTTTTCTCCCATCAAAAATTTAAACAAAATAACCATAAAACAAGAAGACATTGAACCCGCCGCTCCGCGACCGGCGGGGTCGCCAACCATTCCGTGGTGTTCATCAAATAGTTCGCTGAATTTTTTCGATACATCAATGGATGCTATTTTCTTAACATTACGGTGCGAGCATGCGACTGTAACACAGAAAACGCGGTTTAAACTGTCGTCGGAGATTGCGGCCGCCGCCATGTTTCAATGTTGTTGACAGACGACAGGGCAAACGACACACTTGCTCAACGTGAATATCGCGAGAGTTTGCACCGATGTAAACCCTCTCCACAAAAATCAGAGATGAAAGTGGACTTTTCTGAAAATCCGATCACGCATGAATTAGTTGACACAAAACGCTATTAAAATACTCGACATTCAATGATTAATATTCCCTTTGTGTGCTTCAGCGCGAACATGTACACAAGCTCGTCTTTTGATTTCAACCAATCAGCGCCGATGCAACGACGTCACACACGACGTCACAAACGACAACAGCTAAGCTAAACTAGCCGAGGCGACACTCCAAGTCGGGCGGACACGTTTTTCTGCCAATCTGTGTGTTTCCCTATTTGTCCAAATATATTTTTTACGACAACTGTCTTGTCCACGGTGTCTTTTATTCGTTCCCATGGTGTTTAGCAAGTGTGTTTATAAAGAGACGAAAATCTCTTTCCTCTTACTAGTGTTAGTGCCTCAATATGGCTACGCTCGTGAACGCAAAACAACAAACTCAAACGCGTCTTCGTTCAATGATGTCAACTAATATCCAGATTAATTTTTCGGCAAATTTTCCTCATTTCTCCGGAGAGATTTTCATAAAAATTTGAAAAACCCGGAATTCCGGGAAAATCTGGAGGACTTTCATCTCTGAAAAATGTAGAGGGTTGTTTGAAAAAAATGCCGACCGTAAAGTTTTTTTTCGACGTAGAAATTCTCGGTCGGTCGGGTTACCGGAAACACACTACCTTTTTTTCCTACGCCTTAGCATGTTCTTTATGCCCTTGTGATCTGAATAACTCTTAATATGTTACGTGTGCAGACCAGGCTCGTACTTCATTTGTTGTTTATGCGTCATGTAAAGTTAGCATATTGTACACTTGATCCCCCCCCAAAATGCAATTCATAGTCCAATGCAATTTATACCTGTTTTTTTTCTTCTTTATTATGCATTTTATGGTTTATACTCAGGATCGACTTATAGTCCGGAAAAGATGGTAGATGATTCGTAATAAACTATCCAAAAACAATAAATAAAAAAATCACTGTACCAGAAAATTTGAATAATACTTAATATGACGATACAAAGAAAGGAGTTTGAGAAATGTTGGCCAACTGAAAAGTATAACCATGAAAAGTATGTATATGTACAGGATTCAATACTCAGCCGGGGCACCTTTTGCCTGAATTACTCCAGTAATGCGAGGTGGCATCGAATCGATCAGTGTGTGGCACTGCTCAGGCGTTAGAAGAGCCCAAGTTGCTCGGTCGTGGCCTTCGGTATTTCTGCATTGCTGGGTCCGGCATATCGGAATCTTCCTTTTAAACATGATTTGCATTGTATTCTGTTTATAATGAACAATTCGCACAACTTCCCAACTTCACTGGAGTTGGGTTTGTAGATCGGTTGCTCTCGGTAGTACTGTATTGGCCAGAATATAAGACGGTGTTTTTGGCATTGAAATAAAACTGAAAAAGTGGGGGTCGTCTTAGCCGTCGGCAAGTGCTCTCATGAGCCTTGTTTTTTTGTTGTTTTTGTGTTTGTTTTGTCACTTTGTGTTTTTTGTTACGTCGTGTGGACCTGATGTGGACTTTTTTCAGCATTTTTTGGCCACGACATTCATCAAGGAGGAGACTCTGTGCTTGGTGGTTTCGTCTTCTCTGCAGCATGGGTATACCAGCACTGTTTTTGACTGGGAGGAATGTAGGCACCATTTGACTGTCGTTGCTGGACAGTCCCGGGGCGCTTGTGTCTTGCGCCTGTAATGGGCAGCATTTTTCACAGCCCCGCTTTGTTCAGCGGAGAGATTGGTGCTGTTGAACGGTCTGCGGCTGGATGGATGCAAGGCTTGAGGAGCCGACGATGAGAATAAAGGAGCGTTAGCGCAGAGCGCCGATGCGGATGTGGAACCGGGAGTCGCGGCTTGGAGTTGAAGCAGATTACGTGGGACAGGAGAAGTGAACTAATCTGTTTTTGTCAATGGACGCTACAGCTTCGTGTTTGCTTTCAAAACTTAGCTTGTAGCAGACGTGCAAATTTTCAGCATGACGTCTCTGATCCACTGGTAAAAGGACACTTTGATCCTCTCCTCTTTCCTCTATAACTGCTTCAGACAACAAAGTGTATGCAGGAAAGTGGTGAAGATTGCACGACTGTCTGTGTCCTATGTGTTGTGTTATTTTTGTTATTTTGACTTCAAGATGGCGCCGCGAGAGTGGCTGCCTTTCCAGCAGCTCCTATATTTTGTTGTTCTCTCTTATATTTTGTTGTTCTACTTCTTCCTTTAATAACTTTGCTGCTGTGAATTGGGAATTTCTCCATTGCGAGACTAATAGAGGTTTTTCTTTCTCTAGTCAGTCTAGTCATTATACCCATTCACGACGCTAGATGGCGCCGGAAGCGAATGCTGAACTTGACTCCCCAGGCCAAAGTGAACCCCTGCCATGAAGAATAAAAAAAAAATAGCGGTAGCATGAAGAAGAAAAATAAAAAAAATAGCATTAAGAAGGAAAAGAGAAGAAAATAATAGAAGAGATAACAGGAAATGGAGAAACGTAGTGACAATCTGGAGAAAAGTGGGTCGAAGATCGGCCAGGTTAACCGGCAGCTGAGGAGAAGTTATGATGTAATTTACATTTCAAAAACCAGAAGCCATTCATTTACGAATGTGATTGCACTTTAGATTTGAATGAGGCAAAATAACATGCTTTTTCTCTCAAATATATTGTTATAATCATTGGTTTCAGATGTAATTATTTTCTGTATAAAAATTAATTTGGTCTTCAAGTCTTTTTTCAAACTTGAGTCTTGAAAAAGAGGGGGTTGTCTTATAATCAGGGCCATCTTATATTCGGGCCAATACGGTAGTTTCTTTCAGCTTTTTCGTGATGTTTTTCAGGAGGTGTTGAAGCTTATGCGCACCATGGACGATCGCATCGTCCACGCTCTGAACACCACCGTGCCCACGGTCTCCTTCTCGGGCAAGGTGGACGCTACACAAACGTGCAAGCAACTGTATGATTCGGTGAGTGCCAATGTGCATATGCGTGTGTGTTTGTTAAGCATTAAGCTTTTTCAATTCAGAGGAAAATGCTTCACACCCATCAAATTCACAAAATTGTGGCGATCATTTTAATATTTTTAGAGGTTGAAGTCGGTATGGGTCGAGAGGGACACACATCTTGGGGACAATTTCTCCTAGTTTTCAAACATTACGTGACGCTTTAGCTCTGTGGTGTGTACCAATCGAGAGGAAAAGGCTTAACGTGCATAAAATTCAATATATTGGGATGATTGTTCGAATATTTTCGAAGGTTGAGGTTGGCATGAGTTAGCTTTGGGCGATATGGACAAAATTATATGTCAATGTTCATCCCAGATATCTCAATATTGATACAATAAGGAGTTTACACACCCAATTCCAATGATGTTGCTATATTTTATGTATGTGTTAAACATAAATAAAAACACAATTCACCTCTCAGGAATTGTCAATTATGTGTATGTGGGTACCAGCATGCTTAAAATGGGTAAACAGTATTTATAATTAACATATGTGTGACAAATATTACTGCAGTAGATGTATTTGCATAAATCTTTATTTATAAAACCATATACAGTAATTAACATTTATCAACATTGCTTTCTGGGAGAGGTAAAGGGGCTTGTGTTGGTGGTGTAGAAGAAGGCTCTCACTTGACCCGTACTGACTTTAGGTTCACTCAGAGACTCCTGTTGGAGGCCCTGACTGTGTAGCCGAGGTTTTTAATTTGGAGCAAAACATGGTGATGGGCGCAATGACGTTCATCTTGTCTTTTTATGAGTTGAAATAGGTTTAAGGTTTCTTTTTTTTATCAGACTATAGTCTTCTTTTCGTGAGGAAAAAAATCTCATACTTGGCTGACAGTTTCGGTCGTCACGTCAGCCTTCTTCTGTCACTCCTTGCTTGTGACATGTCTTTAAAAAAAAAAAAAAAAACCTAACCGGTCAGGAAACCTTCAAAATAAGGCTCCCCGACCCCGACTCAAAGCTGCGAACCAGCTCCTTGCCACCGTTGAGGTGTCCCAGGTGTGTGGGCGCATGTAATCCCCCTTGTGCCTGTTGATGGTGCCATCTCTGTGGAGGGACGACGGGGTTTACTTGCTCCTACACACCCTGGACACATTGCTTCAACAGCAACAAGGTCAGAGATGAAAGTCCTCCGGAATTCCGGATTTTTCAAATTTTTATGAAAATCTCTCCGGAGAATTGAGGAAAAATTGCCTCAAATTAATCCGGATATTAGTTGACAACATTGAACGAAGACGCGTTTGAATTCGTTGTTTTGCTGTCACGAGCGTAGCCATGTTGAGACACGAACACTAGTAACAGTAGAGATTTTCGTCTCTTTATCAACACATTTGCTAAACCCCAGTGGAACGAATAAAAGACACCGTGGACAAGACAGTTGTAAAAAATATATTTGGACAAAAAGGGAAACACGCAGATTGGCAGAAAAACGTCGTTGCGTCGGTGCTTATTCGTTGAAATCAAAAGACGCGCTTGCGTACATGTTCGTGCTGACGCACGCACGGTAGAGAGCAGCGGACTCGCTTGAGTGGCGTCGCCACAACAGTAATAACCTCGCCTCGCATTCTCATGGCCTCGCCATATCTCTGAGATTTCAAAATTTCGGCGAGAACGGAAGCAACCAATCGCTGAAGCCGAATTTGATTACATGTTTCAGCTCAGTATCATCCGTCCTTCAAGCAGCAGTGGGGCGTCCCTGCTACACATGGTTCCCAAAGCGAAGGCAGGTGATTGGCATCCATGCAGAGACTACCGTGCCCTCAACTCCGTCACCATCCCCGACCAATATCCCATCCGACTGCATGTCCTTCCATCACGGGAAGTCAACATTTTCTACCATCGATCTGGTGAGGGCCTATCACCAAATACCGGTCGCTCCAGAAGATGTTCCCAAACCGGCCATAACCACCCCCTTCGCCTCA